AAATTCCCGAAAAGTCCCTGAAAGTTCCCTATAAGTACCCGGGAAGTTCCCTAAAAGTACCCGGGAAGTTCCCTAAAAATCCCCGGGAAGTTCCCTAAAAGTTCCCTTTTTTTTCGGGTGTCCGTCCAGACAAACGGGTCATGTTATAACGTTCGTCTTTTCCGCGCGGAAACACGAAATTTCGATGATCGGAGAATCTCGAAATACACGTTTTTGCCACACGGTCCTGTCAAATAATTCTTTTGGGCAAAATAAGTTCGCATCTTGTTCGCATTTGGAAAACGACCGAATTCTCCATATATTTTATATTATGTATTTTTTAATACCGGTACATGAATATATTGCTCACAAATTCCGGTTTCCGAACGCGAAACGATTGATTCGCAAACTTTTCACTTTACCGGTATCCTTCTTGCAGCATTTTATTTGTTCAGAATATGAGGCGTGACCATTTTCAGGCTCATTCGTGCGGGATGTGAAATTGAAACATCCTTTTCTGTCATTAACCTTGTGGAAAGAAAACGCTTGCTTTAGAGAAATCAATCATGAATCACGTGCCGACGCTAATTCGAAGCAACAACTCTCGTCGAAGAACGAGTCTGGTGTCAGAGATCACATTTGATGATGATGACTTTCTGTCGGGTGAAATCAGCTACGGTTCAACTGGTAGCAAATGTGATGGTAGCAAATGTGATCACAAGTGGAGTGCAGGAACACAACCATGCCATGCTGTGCTAGAATCGAGACGAATATTTATTCTAACGAGTATGCCACATTCAACATCTCTTGCAATGCCTGAACGCAAATGTTCCACCAATCGATTGTCCGATCGTCCAGTGGAAGACGCAAATAATGTTACCTTGAAGCCTCTAAGATCCAAGCATCAAGAAGAGAATCCAACTGACAAGTTCTGGAGAAGCAAACGGTTACTACTGAGCCAACTACCAGGGGCTCTTGCTCCAGGATCAAAAGATCGCATGCCCAACGCAAAGTGGGATCTCGGTGTAACCGGGTCAGGATTAGAAGTAAAGGAAAGTTTATCCTCAGGCTGCTCGAGTGATGGTAGGCAGAGCTGCCCGAACAGAAAGTTTTTTAGCAAAGTAAGAACAAGCTTTAGCAGAAGAATCAGCGCTTGCGGTCCGTCCGTGGAATTGCGAAAGCCTATTCGCAGGCGCTCTAAAGATCGGGATTTGGAAGAAACTTCCGACCTTGCTCGAAACATGATCCCGACTCCAATAATGCCAATCTTCCCATTACCGGGTCGTTCCAGCTTTGTGCTTTCGAAAAAGCATTCCATCGCATCACCGCACAAAGGAGAAGGAGCATGTCACCTTATGCCACCATGCCGCTGACCATGCCTGTTCGCAGGGCCTCAACATCAAAGCCTTTGTGAACGTGCCTCTTTGGGCACCAAGAATGCAGTGCGAAACAAGCTCAGTAGACCGAAACTGCCTACCACGGTACGATACCATGGTGCCTCGCCAGGTACCTGGTAGGGTCCGCATCATACAACGTCACATACGGTGGTACTGATAGTCCCAAGTACCGATATTGCAGCTTCTGCACTCAATTTCCAGAGAAACCTTGTACATATTCATAGCAACGACATTTTGCCTTATTTTTGAATTTCTGAGCATCATACCAGTCCATTGAACTAGTAAATGAAATCGATAAATTATATGCTTTACTGTATCTACTTTGTGACATCTTCATGTCATAAACTAAGGTCGGATTCCTCGTCCACCGAGGAACTTACAGACTGAATTCTTCCCACCATGTCAATCCGACTCACATTACTGGTCCCTATCGGCTTTGTGGTACCATTGGACTTCTTCATCTGGACGTCTTTAGATTCTTCGGTCTTGTTGGTTTTTTCAGACTCATCGTCACCATCCACCGAAATGACGCCACTCTCCATTTGGTCTGGAATGATAGAGTGCCCTTCATCTGAGCTTTGATTGGGAGAGACATTGGATGGGACTGATATTCTGCTGTTATCCGCCGACTTTGTTCTTCGACCTCTCGAACTCGTGGCCATTGAGCGACGTTCAAGCACAAGACTCCGTTCTTTTTTAGGATCACGGATGATCGTCAAAATAGTACCAGCTGATAGATCTGGATACTTGCGTCTATAAGTCGTGTATTTCGGGCGTAGATAGATCAATACGTTCAAGAACCCTGAAGCGTAGAGGGCCGTGTTAGTTGACCTAAAGTTCTCACGACTGCAGACGAAAGCTGAACTCAATCAGCGATAATTTACCTTGAAGTGGCAGAAGCGTAGTATCTAAAGCTTGTATTGCAAAGTAATTGGTACCATTGCCCAGCTCGATGATACGCTGGACAGTGGGAAAGAACCACGTAATGCAAAACGCTAGCACATAAAGTGATCCTTGAACTGCGATCCGCGAAGAGTATTTTCCTTCCTCATTTATGCTCCGCCTTTTGCGATCATCTTTTGCTGAAAATGCCAGACTGGCGCTATTATCACCGAAAGATGTCGATTGATCGGCGGTCGCTGTACCGTCCCCTCCATTTACAGTGCTGTTGTTGATATTTTGAGTGATTACACCAGTCATCGTTGGCGCCTTTAATGCATACTTTCGAGATATCAGTCGTTCTTGCTTTCGCATTGTCCACCACAGCGTCGTCATGACACTAAGCTGAATCAAAATACATATCCACACAGGAGCAAATAGAAAAGACCATTGGAAGTATCGAAAATATTTCTGCGGCGGATCTGGATTGATCCAACATGTCCAGAAAACGTTCCCATACATCTCTCCAACTGCCGCCGAGATTGCTGTTCCAACCGCAAACAACGCGGGGATAACATGAAATAGTGGCTCGATCTTTTTCAAGGAATTTTCCTTCCAACCCTGCTGAATGTGGAGCAAGTAGTAGATGGAAAGTGATACATTGTATAGCGGGGAAGCGACTGCCAGCTGGTTGAAGAAACCAGAATAGGAACAAGTTTCTGGTGTTCCGAAAGCCATGTAAACATCTCCAAAAGGCCCCGAGCTTCCTCGAGGAATCAACCAAGTTCCGAGGAAGTAAATGTGGCTCGATAAAATATCAGAGCACGAGAGACCGAGCATTAGCCGATGGTATATGTTGGACCTCTTCTCTCTTGATGAAAGCACACTCCATACAATGTAAATGGAGCCTCCCAAGCTCAATAGAGCGGGTACTTTAGGGGCCACTGCTAATGCAATGGACTCGGATGTATATCCTTCGGCACTTGTCATGGTGATGAACTGAAACTGGTGTTTACCTATCAAAAATGATTGGTGAGCGAGTGTCAGTGTGGGAGTAAGAAGAGTAAAAAGTTCCAAAATGTGGAAAAGTTTGGGCATTGAAATTCTCTATGTTCTCCACCATATATATATTTAAAAACATGATGTTCTTCACCACGTTTATATTTTTCGAAATGCGTCAGAGGCGAGCTTTCGAGGCGAAATCGAACACTTTCGAATCCGGCAAATATTCAAGTCAAGTCGCGGGTTGGATGAATGATGGGTCATTGTTTACTTTCGCGCACTTCTGGACCGCCAGTGAATTATAGACCGATTACCAGCGGCATTGATCACGTTACCGGTGAAACTAAAAACGAGGAGGCGTTTTGAAATGTCATTTACTGCCTAATAGTTCGTACTGTACGCGTGTACCAGCTAGCTACCGGTACCAGGTAGGGGGAGATCCGAGTCTGGGTCATTGTAATAGACCGATTACCACCGGCATTGATCACGTTACCGGAACGCACCACAACGTGCACCGCACACAATTGAAATGTCCGTTAATTGTTTAATATGGTTTTTTTCTGAAAACGTGAAGTGTCCGTTGCCATTTTAGCGCGGGCGCACTGTGAAAATCGGGCATGCCCCGTGCGTCAATTTTACGCAAAACGGGCACGCCCCGCGTCAATTTTACGCAAATCCGCGTCAATTTTACGCAAATCCGCAAATCCGCGTCAATTTGACGCAAATTTTTTCGTCAGATTGACGCAAGTTGCGTCAATCCCGCGTTAAACTCAAGAAGTTGCGTCAATCCCACGTCAAACAGATGCAGTTGTGTCAATCCCGCGTCAAATTCAAGCGAGGCCAGAAACACAATGTTATAAGAGCACAGTACAGGTTCTGACACCAGCTATTTCATTATGCTATGGGGCTACAGTTCTGGATCCGTTTCTCAGAAGTACTCGGCTTCATAGTCAGGTATATCCCAAAATTTCACAGTTCCAAGCTCTAAACCAATTTGTATTGATACCAGGACAGCACCTACCGCAAACGTATGCTTATCATAGTTATGGATCCAAATACCTCGCAATGATTGGAACTTTTTCATCTTGCAAAAGACACATTCTTGTCTTGCACGAACAACACCCTTTTGCTGCTTTGCCCGACGCGATTTGGCGACTTGAGGATTCTTCAAACAGCATTCGCCTGAACACCCAGCATCAGCCTCGACACATTCACCTGCGTCCAATTTTGACTTCAGCTCCTCTCGGAAAATCTTTATATCCGACTTGCCACCCTTGTGCCAACCGCTCCAATGGACAATATAGCCGTTGTGAATAGAGCTAGCAACATCATACTTGAGGCCTGCTTTGTGGCGTTTAACATCCCACATTTTACTGTCGAACGGCCACTTATCAAAGCACCCAAACGTAGTAGCATCGTAGACAATTGAAGCCATTGTGACCAACTTGTTCCATCCAATCAGTCGGAGATCCATCCGAATCACCTGGTGGTGTAGGTCATGCACAAGAGGAATGAAAATCCAAGCCCACTTACGAAATGTATTTGCACTGCAACTAACCATCTTTGCATTGGCGTCATCGCCAGCATACTTCTTGAGTAGAACATAAGCATATAGAAGATGACGTGGGGCACCACCCTTGGGAATTTTGTTGCTTTCAGCTAGTCTGTTCCAAATGTTACTAGCTATATGCCACTAGTGATTACAAGCGATGTTGGGTTGACTTATCCAAAGGGAATGCTGGATACTCTGGTGAAAATTCAGTCAATGTTGGAATGACGTTCAAAGGTAGTGAAAATTTTTACACAACACGGCTTAACACATCTTCTGTCATACCTCGTTCTTTGGTGTTCAACAAGAATGCCGGATGCGATAAGTTCCTGAACAATCGAGACAAGGAGAGCAGAAAGATCCTGAAAGGAATGGGAGACGTTGCCAGATCCCTGGCTAAGTATGCCTATGAAAGAAAGGTCAGTCCCAATATTGCCAAATCCATTCTCAAATATGTTTTCTACAAGATCTTTGAGCAGTACAGGGGCTATCTGGGGGATTCCGCTGATGAACAAAACAGTGAGGCTGGGCTCGAGATGCCAAACCTTGGAGATACTCCAAAGGAGTCACAGGCACAAAAACAGTAGGCAAACCCATGAGATAGTATGGCCGCGTCAAATAAGAATCAAACTAGCCGTGTAGCACTTAAAAGTCAAATTATAGGTTCTATTTTGAATACCATCTTCCGTTTAAAGTTTACAACTCCTACAAACAAGAAACTATTAGTCATCACCACATCTCACTTGGCTGAGGGTTTCGCGGATGTTGCACCCAGCGGAGAGTGTCCAACGTTACACGATCGGGTCTTCTTCCACCATCCAATGGAACAAGAAAAATAGGGACATCTCCTGTTGGGCGTAAACTATATTATTGAAATTTCAATACAAGTGGTTTCAGCTTCTTTGCTCTGTAGGTGAATTTTTGCTTGGAGATTTTCTCTGTCCAAGCTGCCGTAATTTTGTAGTGAAAGACGGACCCACAGAGCTCAATATCTCCACCAATACCTCCGCCGGTGAAGATGTGTAGGTAATAAAACCAAAATATCTGTTGGTGAATTTCATCGAGGGCTTCGAACTCATTTATGAGGTCGTTGCGTCTTGCTTGGATAATAGCATCATCGCCATTATGTGCCCCAGCTTTGTCAATTTCCATCAGATCCATTGTTCAATATCCGGTTACTTGCTCTGTGGACTCAGATGGCAGTCGATACGAAGGTCACAGTGTAAATAACTTCTTTGAAGAAATGGGCATTTCTCATTGGAATGAGAGGCAAGTGGACAACTCCAACTTCCATTCATTCACATACTCCGATGTTTTCATCACAATGATGAACTGGTACACGTGTACGGGTACGCGGGTTCGTCCCGCGTCGAAGACATGCAAGCCCGCGTGAAATTGACGCGGAGTTGCGTCAGTTTGACGACGCAGAGTTGCGTCAGATTGACGCAGAGATGCGTCAGATTGACGCAGAGATGCGTCAGTTTGACGCCGATTACGCGTCAAATGACGCAACTCCGCGTCAAATTGACGCAACTTGCGTCAATCCCGCGTCAAAAGAAACGTCCCGCCGCGTCAAAGACGCAGAGCATTTTAACAGACACGTTCAAATTATTTAGCTTTTTAAAAAAATCTCAAAACAATCTAAACGGACAGATTTTGGGCGTGCGTTTGACGTTGTGGTGCATCCCCGGTGACACTAAAAACGAGGAAGCGTTTTGAAATGTCATTTACTGCATACTGTACACGTGTACCAGCTAGCTACCGGTACCATAGGTAGGGAGAGATCCGAGTCAAGCCACGAGGCATGACTGGGACGCATTGCGTTTTTGTTGGACCCGTCATTGTCAATAGTACATTGCCTTCAGTTGTCATGGAGATGCAAATAAAAAGAGGGAGCGCTTTGAAATATCACCCTCTACAGCGTGTTGAAAAAGAAGCAAGATGCGGCTGGTAATTTTGTAGTATCTATGAAGAGTAGTACTAGGCAGTTTGGTGCTGTACTGTTATCATGCTATGATTTGCTGCGGCGTAAGGAGACCTAAGTTTGCCTGATTGTGGCAAATTGCAATCGTCCTCCTTGAAGAAGAAGAATCAATCAATCATCTGATTTGTTGCTTTGCATCGTATCTACGCGCCTACCTTCTTTGCATACGTACTTGGGCGTTCCGATCCGTCCGTCCTTCGCTAGCCAACACCTGCTGTGAATACGGCGAACGGACTCAGTTGCGTCAGCCTCTCCAATCCAGCATTGCCTTGTGGCTCGAAAAATTTACAACCGATAAATAGTTCGGTATCATGAGTGCAATATGAGTGAATCTTGAATATGATCCAATCGAACCAGACCTGCGCGCTTGGGTGTGCACGCGCAGCATTTATCCACGGCCAAAATGACTTTTCTGCCGGCGTTCTTATCGTAATGTTTCGTACTTGTTTTGTACCATCGTCGAACAGTAGGAAATCCACAGAAATGCGAGTTACTCTTGGTCCAGACGCGCTAAACTAAAAACCATCCCAGTGCTCATAGTTTTTCATCCAAAGTAAAACCGAGATTGTTATGAAAGTCAAAGTATACTTGCTCTCTGTCTCCCTCTTTTTCTCAACCCTTTCGGTTGCTCTTGCTGCCGGCATTCGTCGTCCTCGTTCGCTCGTGCAAGAACGGAATAAACGAGGAGTCCAATCCATTCGTATGAAACGTAATCTTGGTAAGAAAACCTCAACAAAGAGTACCAAGAAAAGCAAAGGTGCCTCAACAAAGAGTACCAAGAAAAGCAAAGGTGGCTCTGGGGTAGGCAATACTTTATTTACTTTATTTGAAGCCGAAGGGTTCACCAAGGATCAAGCATATTGGTTGGATCAAATTACTAGCTCCAACAAATCAGACATCGATCTCTTTCTCGATGGTGACAAAGCCATTGAAGAACTACAATTCTTCACGAATGCAGTCCGTTCCAACCCCTATACGGAGGGACAAGAAGTATCGGATCGAGAAATCTTGAATTTCCTCATGGGTCCAACTGTGTTTGAACCAAGTGACTTGGACAACGAAGACAATAACAACCGTGGACTACAGCGATCTGACCCAAATAATCTGGATCTGCGTAATGACAAGGTCTTCGTGGCGGCTGTCAATTTAGGTGTGGAAGTACTATCCCAAGCAGTCTCTGAAATTACCTCACTCCCTAAAGGAACTCTAGAAAAAACGTTTACGATACTTGCAAAGAGACTTGAACCAAGGGCATTCTTTGATTTTCAAGATGCACTCAAGGCTGCGATTCGAGCAGACGGCACAATTTTCAGGCCTGCCGTCTTGAAAGAAATGGGAAACTTTGCGCTCACTTTCTTGTCAAACTTCAGTGTGAAAGAAATCTTTGCTGAAGTTGCAAACAATATGACCTCGGTTGATTATGCTCTCTGGATTGGTGGATTGTCTGCAAATTTTGCTTCGTTTTTTGTGGGTGGTCCTATTCTAAAGTTGACGAAACTATTGGTTACCTTGATAGACAATGCATCACTTGCGAAAGCTTATGCAGATTTTGTACTTGCCATGGTCTCAGATATGCCCCCAGATGCAAGTCCAGCACCCACTGGAGCACCAAGTCCAACACCCACTGAAGCACCAAGTCCAACACCCACTGGAGCACCAAGTCCAACACCCACTGGAGCACCAAGTCCAACATTCACCGAAGCACCAATCACGAGCGATGATCCTTGTAGAGGTGATCCATGCTGCGAAGATCCGTCCAACTGCGATTTTGGAGGCGCCGCTGGCGACCCTCATCTGGTAACATTTGACAACATCCGTTACTCCTGTCAAGGTAAGGGGGACTTTGTGCTCTTCCGATTGGCAACATCAGGCCTTCAAATTCAAACTAGGTTTGAAAGGTTGGACCAGTTTGTATCCCTTGCGACAGGTTTTGCTGGAACTACTGGATTCTCAGGGCACACGATTGAAATCTCCATCCCTCAGACCTACGCTGGAAAAATCGACCTGTTTGTCGATGGAAGCAAGCTTGAGCTTGGTGCAGGTTACGATGATGATCAATTTCGAGTCACTGTCAGTGGTAGAACTCATACAGTGTTCTTCAAAGCTTCCAAACTGTCGGTGGTAGCTGATTTCATCTTAATCGGTGTCCCACACCTTGAAGTTAACGTTCGAGTTCCAAGTTCCATTCGAGGGGACGCCATCAGCGGGCTTTTGGGTTCTCCGGACGGTAACCCTTTCAATGACTGGACCACGAAGAATGGTGAAGTTTTGGACACAAATTTCCGATTCAGTAATGAAGACGGATACAAGTACTGCACAACCGAATGGTGCATCAGCGACGTCTCCGAATCCCTGTTTACGTACAACCAAGCAGGGGACTTTTTGAGCTTGTCTGGGTGCGATGAAGAGTATCCTGGTTCCGTTGACCTAAGCCAAGCAAGCCAGGAGCTTCGAGAGCTCTGTGGCAGTAATGAGGCTTGTCTCGTGGATGGAATTGTACTTGGGGTCGAAGGTGCCCAGAGCCTGCTAGAAGCTGAAGCATCTTACGGTTCTAGCTCGTTGTCCAATGCATTTCGGGCTAGCCCCAATGCTGTAGTGGCAGACAGCCCTACGGACATTGTCTTGACAGTTGATCTTTCTATATCTGATGCACCAGGCAGTACTGAAGTGGAAGAGTTTGTAGTGTTCGAAATCGACAGCGAGACATTTGAAGTTTCCACTGTGCCTGTGGCCACACTGGAAGATATTGGTACAGGCAGAGGTGAGGATATAGTTGCCCGCGACTTGATATTTTCCACTGTCCATTCGGTGGAATCTTCGGGTGCAGCGGGAAGTGGTTTCAGTTTCCAAGCTGTACCGCGGATCAACGGTGAGCTTGCACGTGATTCTCCACTCGTTTTCACTCTTTTGTACGCAGTGGTTGTGTATTCCGTGGACTCAGGCATTGCATTTGAGGTAAACAGAATTAAGAAAGGTGACACTGGGATTCTCAAAGTGAGCGCAATTGAGGGCCTCTATCTTTCTATTCAATACTTTTGGGCCAGCGGCCGAAGCAACACCTTGGTAACAGGGACATCGTTTCTTGGTGAGAAAGTAGGATCCGAATCTTCTTGTCCGATTTCTTCCACATATATGTATTCCGCCGGCACATTCGACAGTCTGGGCTCAAGTGCAGAAAGTGTGTTGGTCTTCTTTGGTGACTCTCATGAATCAGGTGCATGGGCCAATCAAATATCTATCGAATTGAATGCCCACTGGAATGACGGCGGTGGAAGTGGGCCTGTGACAGTTCTGGTTTTTCCTGTTTTGGTTCCTTCAGCATTGGGCTCTAATGCCGTGGACACTGAGATGCTTCAATTCACGGTTACACCATCAGAAGCAGCAGTCGCCGGTTGTTCCACCAACAAGATAGGATCGGTGGACGTTCTTGTGAAGCCTGCAAGTGATGGAGATGTCACCATCAGTGTGATCCCGGAGTGGGACTGAAAGACAGGTGACTTATGATGACTGAAGAATATAGAGAACGGTTTCTGTTTGCACCAGTGAATAGTTTTTAATTACATTCATTGGTATTACTCATCGATAATATATTTCCATTTTCGACCAAGAGTTTTCTTGAGAATTTTAAAAACACTGGAGCTGCATCATTGATGAAACTGTACCAGTACTTTCCCGCCAATAAATACATTACAGTAAATCGTTTGGTACGAATTGTACGACCACTATGATCCCTTCTTCCTCTCTATCATTCATCATATCCCTTGACAACAAACATAATTTATTTTGGAACCCACAAACATGAAAATGCTAGCAAAAGGGTGCTCAAGCGAAGCCAGCCCTCTTTCGCATACGTCCATTCACCGCGAGATTCGTTGGGTACCGGTTGTGTCTTTGTGTCCAAAAGTTCAAAAGCTACCGTAGAGTACAGTAGTTCCACATTGAAGCCAACCCAACGTCTGTACATCTGTCCGATGACAGGTTTCAACCTATCTTTCCACCGATCATATCCTCATCGAATTGTACTGTACGGTAGGTTTGGAATTATTCTTTCATAAAGCAAAGTACTGGACAAAATGTCATCACTACCTCCAGCACTCAACTTTGCCGAGACCAAAGAAGGCATAGTCAAGAAGTGGAGGGAAGAGAATTCCTTTCACCGTCAAAACGAACTTAGTCTAGAGCGCGGAGATGAGGTGGTTGCAAATTGCTTGGAATCTTTTGCACAAGTGCCCATCGTGAATATTATAATCCATTTGACACCGAACAATCTCTTACACTTTCTTACTCCTGTAACCCTTATTTGGCAACCAATTCACATCCATCGGAATCTTGTTTCAATACTGCCACCATGTTGTTGATATTTATTTATGCTATGATATTATAATTATTATTCAACTCGATTTTCAAATGCAAGGAGTACACATTTTATGATGGCCCTCCATTTGCTACTGGATTGCCACATTATGGACACATCTTCGCTGGAACTATCAAGGATACCGTCACTCGTTACGCCGTCATGACAGGGAAGCATGTCGACCGTCAGGCTGGATGGGATTGTCATGGTCTTCCTGTGGAATACAAAATTGATCAGAAACTCAATATTACGCATCGGGATCAAGTCTTGGAAATGGGTATTGACAAGTATAAGGATACCTGTCGTGGAATTGTTACTCGGTACACCAAAGAATGGGAATCTACCATCACCCGCCTTGGAAGATGGATTGATTTCGAGAATGACTACAAGACTATGGATCCTTCCTTTATGGAAAGTGTCTGGTGGGTCTTTTCACAACTCTTTGAAAAGGATTTGGTATACCAAGGTAACAAGGTTATGCCATACTCGATGGCTTGTGGTACTCCTTTGTTCAACTTTGAAGCTGATCTGAACTACAAGGATGTCAGTGATCCCTGTTGGTGAAATGGGATCTTGACAGATAAAAGAACAGTCGAACATGTCGGACAGTGAAGTCGGACATTCGTGATATCGAACACGGACGGGAGTACGGTTCGAGTACTTACAGAGATGGATAAGTATTGAAGGTAGATCCAGATCTGTG